TTAATAGCCTCGATCTTGTGTGAATATAACAATAGATCGTTCCACGTGGCTTTCTATTTTTGTAGGGGAAGCGTATTCCACGCGAATCCGGCCAATTCGTCGAAATTCCATTGGTCTCTGGACAGCTGGAAGAAGGACGATTCGTCGAATAGGGCAATTCGCCCTAGGCCAATTCGCAGAATGGAGAATGGGGCGAAAGTGCCCGCTTGTCGAACTGTCGAAAATAGTTGAATAGGGTAAAGGTGTGTAGATAGCCGGAAAGAGGGGGGGTAAACAATGAGACCATCTTTCCAAAAAAGGAGAGGATGACAAATGCAGCTCTCAGAATTTACAAAGGTCCGATAGTGAATCGTACCCGGATTGTTCAAAATTAAAAAGTAGGGTTCTACGTGAATATGTTCACTCGCTACTCTAGCATAATGGAATTTGGGAAGACCGAGCGAGGAGCTGACCTCCTGATCCTGCGGGTTATATGTGCACTTGTAATGTGCGCATATGAATAAATCGCGGTCGCACTGTCGCAGTGGCTCTCTGACAGAGTTACAACCAGTTGAAATCCGATCGCAGCCTCAATATGCTACCTGGGCGCGTATCGGTGCGACTGCTGCATGCCACCTGACCAAAAATGGTAAAGCGGAAACGACGGAAGCCCATCCTAAAAAAAAGTATTGTATTAATTATTAAGAATACCTACTTGTTTCTTTACATGTGGTTCAATGCGACAGCAATGGCATTGGTGGCCGAAGCATGCGAAACTAATCGTCGCGATAAGCGTCAATGTGCCGAATGCTCCGGGCAATCACTGGACAAAAGCGAATCACCGGACAGAGGCTTAATGGAAAGAACGTTGTATTTTATCACTGATTTTGATATGAGGATCGAATTTCTATTTCTGAGGACCGAGAAGTCTAATCAGAAATGTCTAAAAATTCCAGCTTCGTTTTGTAAAAAAAAAAAAAAAAAAAGAAAGAAAGAAAGGACTACATATTCGGAATAAACAGCGGCAAAGAAACTTGTACAAGAGTAGAGGAACAAACACGACAACAATCTTGTCCAAGTTTCTTTGCCGCTGTTTATTCTCAAGATGTTCGCCTCAAACCAACTAGCCCAACACGTCACATTGTTGCAAAAGAACTAAAATTTAGTTTAATTACACATACTACACTGACTTGACCTGAAAATAATACTATCAATTTAATGAGGCGTTTTTCTCTCATTCATGCGGGGGTCATCATCTTTGCGTGACCTTGGACGCCAATAAGGAAAATACAGCAACTCGTACAATACGTAAAGAAGACTGTAGCTGGGGATAAGCACGATTAACGATTCTAAAAATTCTCGTGGACCCCACATTGGTTTCCCCGCCAGAGTTACGACCTTCTAAAAAGTAAACGCGTGACCGATTCTCAATGGTCAACGAGTTCGGTATTTGGTCTTGTAGCATGTGTGATCTTTTCCACGTCATTTGTTTAATTATAAAAATTATCTTTAAATTTAGATATATAAAACGAACAATAAATGGATTGTTTTTTGGGTTTCATGAAGTCTACAAAATACACGAGCATAATTTTAATTTGATTTGGGAGGACTTCACAGAGGCAATGTCAGCGGGACAAGCTCAGCGGCATGCACACGAAAATAGCCGTGTATCGAAAAGCCCGGTACCGAAACGACCACGTACCGAAACAATCGGGCACCGGTATCTCCGCACCGAAACGTCCGGTTCCCCATTCCATCGAACGCATTTTCCACCGCCGTAACTGTCAGTAATCCTACTACTCGAAAAAAAAAATATTCTAAGTTCTCTGCTAGGTTCATTCCCTATCCGTTGGATATTCAGACTCGTTGGACATTCAGGCTCGTTGGACATTCCGTCTCGATTGGACCTTTCGTCTCGGTTGGACATTCAGACTCGATGGACATTCCGTCTCGGTTGGACCTTTCGTCTCGTTGGATATTCCGTCTCGGCTGTCACGTGACCGATTGGACATTCAGTCTCGTTGGACATTCAGGCCATAAGCGTAACTTCTCGGCAGGGGACTACGTCGGAATGTACCACCGCCTCTCGGCTGTTGACTGGACATATGTTTTTGACGGCGACGAGCGACGGAGATTTCTCTCGGTTGCTCGTCGCGTCGTTCGGTTTTTAGATTTCTGGAAATCGTCGCTTTATAGCCTTGGTAGCTTGCTCCCGTCGCTTTCATGCGGTTTGCCTCGTCGCGCGAGTGACCGAGCGACAGCGAAGCGGGTCGTCGTCGCTTGTCTCATCGCCGTCGCTCGTCTCGTCTCGTAGCTCGCTAAATTGCTTACATGCGGTTCAGCCTTTACACGCGGTACTCGGCGACAACAAAGAAATTAAAACGGCCCGCCCCCGAGATAGATTGTTTTCTCTATTCTGTTCAACGAAGCTGCTTCGACGATGTGAAATTAGCACACACTACCAACTGACGACCGCATAGACAAGCCAATCAAACGTCAAATCGCGACCTCGAAGATGACGGATCGACGGTGGCGTTCCCGGGCAAAATCGAACCTGCAAACTCAGTGAATACCACCTATTGGTAGGGAGTGGATGCGTATGTAAACTACTGACGACTGAAGCGTACAGTGAGTAGTTGTCTGTTCCATAGATAAACGAACAGAAATAAAATTTTTTCAAATTCACACAATTGTTCCGCATTTACTCAGGAATTGTCGGGTCACACCAGCCGCCACCCCCATGCATTTATAGGCGCGTTAGATGTAGATTTTATTTTTAAAAAATATATCCATATTTTTTTTTATTAGTGGGAAATTACGCTTGTGAAAGCTCTTGATGCCTCGCACTCACAGCTCCCAAAGCTCCTTTTAAAAAAAATTAAATATTGACTCTGCGCATAGTCAGTGGCGCTGGCGGGCGGTCATGTGTTTGCAATGGGCGGGTCTCCGTATGTAGCTCATCTATGGATCGAAACGGGCAGGAATGAGGAGTGAACTAGAAATTCCTGGGTTCTGAAGCGCGGTTTTTATAGACGTCCCCCAATTGCGATCCACTAGAACACCCGTACATTGCATCCCTATTATATATTTCAAATTGGCTGACCTATGTCATCGGAATATTCCAAACATTTGAACTGTTAATATCAAAGGAGTGTTTGGCGTCGTACAATCGACACCTTTAACCGATTGGTACATAGCTGCGCATCGGCACTCAGCTAACTAACCATCAAGCCTTCCTATAGATGAAATTATAATATTTGTGTCTGCTCTGTTTCTTTGTCGGTCCGTCAAAGTCGGCTTTTGTGGCACGACGTTTTAGTATGATATAACTACGGCAATGCCTGCGGGAACGCGGACTAAATATACACCCAAGTCTGTACATTTAGAAGGGCAAATTATTCTAGCACGTGACAGGCGAGACGAAATGTCCAACGTGCCTGAATGTCCAACGAGACGAAAGATCCAACCGAGACGGAATGTCCAACGTGCCTGAATGTCCAACGAGACGAAAGATCCAACCGAGACGGAATGTCCAACGAGCCTGAATATCCAACGAGACGAAAGAACCAACCGAGACGGAATGTCCAACGTGCCTGAATGTCCAACGAGACGAAAGATCCAACCGAGACGGAATGTCCAACGAGCCTGAATGTCCAACGAGACGGAAGATCCAATCGAAACGGAATGTCCAACGAGCCTGAATGTCCAACGTGCCTGAATATCCATTATTGGATCTTTCGTCTCGTTGGACATTCAGGCTCGTTGGACATTCCGTCTCGTAATCGTGCTATAGGGCTTTCCATCAATTGATATTAAACCTGTTCGTGCTTGAGCAGGACTGAGAAGTGCTGAATGTTCTGACTCTGTGAAATTTATTGTTTTTACAATATGCGTGCGTTGCAGATGTCTCGCTGCTTCGCATTTACTTTGCACGCTTCAACTTCCCTTTGAACACATGATTCTCATCAGCCGAATTCCTATCTTTGTTACCCTTCTGCATTTGTTCGGTCTTCTATAAAATTGTTTTTATTACTTTGTAGTTTGAAGTGTGCCAGCACCAAAATCGCGAGGCTATTCCTTGACTCTGTAATAAACATTGATTATTATTATTATTATTATTATTATTATTATTGTTGTTGTTGTTGTTGTTAATGGCAATAAATGTCGTTCGCGAGATTTTCTGCCAGCTTAGCATTTCTTGGGTTCAGCCCGACCAAGCGCCTTGGAATATTTTGCGAGTGCCCATTTCGCACTACGATAGTTTCGCGAATTTTTCAACTCACACAACGGGTGGCTGTAAGAATCATTGGCAGCGTATTAACTTGAGGCACGTTTTAGCCTTCTCCATCCATTGAAATGCTTTGGAGAACCTGAAAAAATATTCACCCAATAATATCGTTTTCGTCGCAAAAGTGATGCACTTCCAACGAAGCTTAATATCTGTTTATAAAAAGAATAATAATAAAAAACAAAGTCTCTCACGCATACTTATGTATGCACGGTACTAGATTTATATCGTCTGCCATTCATCTTGGAATGACCGCGTAATTAAATCCGGATTACTAGTCACCAGACTGCGTACAGAGACAATATCAACCTCCAAAATGAATGACAACTTAAAGTGATTGCTTGTGTACATTGTGTCGTCATAAAAAAAATAAATGTTTTTTTAAACATTTTTGTTAGGATGGATGTTTTGTTGACAATATCAGCTCCAGGATTACGTGTACTGCGCACTATTTCTGCTTTCGCTCGTCTAAAACGTCTGTTAGTGCTTGTCGCCGAGTTACAAACCAATCGAAGGAACAAAAGAGACCGGAAGTGATATATCGAAATTGGCGCGGGGGAGGAAACGCGAGCGACGACGCGAGCTCGTTGTTTTTGCCCGTTTTTTTTTTTCTCTCGCTCGATCTGGATTGGGCAAGACGGGATCACGTGATTCCCAAGCCGACGGAAATGTTCGTCTCAGCCGCCAGTGGAGGAAGTGGCGCCACTCGTGGCCCGTCACTCGCGCTCAAGTCTCCTGCTCTGGTTGACGGCTTGGGGAGAGACTCCCTCGAGCTCTTTTGCGTCGTCGCACGAGGAGCGAGTACTCGGTGAGTGCGGTCCCAAGACCATGGAATGCCGCTTCCCCGCTATTGAGCTAGGAACGAGATCGAGCGACTGATAACCACTCAGCGGAAGAAAACGAAAAATGAGCTACCGCGAGACTTGTGCTATTCGATGAGCAGACGCGTAAGCGTCCTTCAGGCGCCGATCCATCTCTGAAACCTTCTAGATTTCAGATGTCCTGTTTGTGGGTATCATTTCTACCTATTAGAATCTCGTGCAAAGTTTGTTATTTTGCTCACTTATCTGCCATTCTCATCATAAAACGGATGCAACAAACTATCTTTGCTGTCGCTATTGTCCGCTATTTTGAATCGGCCGCTGATCGGGCGTTCAGGTTGGAAATAACGCGGAAACAAATGTAAATAAAGTGGGAGTTAAGCCTGTTTGTACTTACCCTCTAGCAATATCGTAACGTAGTATGTCACACGACGTATTCCTTCTAAATTTACTGACTCCATTTACTCCATATTTTGTATAGTCTCTATTTTGTTTCGCTTTAAATACTCGGTGTAAGTCTTAAAACTTAAACTGAGACAGTTGAGTTCTATGAGTGGTTTGAGAGAACTAAACTGTTGAATCTGGAATGCGTACGGCGATATGTAATTTTTGTGGAGTAACTCTTTTAGAGCTAGGTAACCCTATACTTTTAAAGGTACACGCACGTAACACGCGCTGCAGTATTTCGTTCTTTGGAGATTTTATTCGTAACGTAAGCAAGCACCAGAGATGTCCGCATGAAAGAAGACTCGTGTTTCCGAATTAACTGCCGAGTTGATGTTTCGTAGACTAGGGTTGCCTGACCGGTTGTAGAAGTCGGATCGACTCAAAGAAACGTCCAGTCGAAATTGCTGGACTCTGAATGACTTCACGTGTCGATTACATTCGTCAACAGGGTGCCGAGACAATGACTAAAAGAATACTGGACGAAATTCTTTCATTCGGACATTCGCTAAACCAGCCAAGCACCAAACAGCATGTCGCCAGTGCAGTTCCACGCGCTGCAAGGTGTTAGCGTCGAAAGCAAAACCCTAAAGAAAACGGTACATCGTGGGTGTACAGTACCCTTTCTATTAGATTACTTTAGGTTAACGTTTAATTTTGATTATTTACGGGGAACATTTCATTGCAAACTTAGAAACAGCGCGAAAAAAAAAAAAAAAAAAACGAGTGACAAGAAAGAGAAGTGAACGAACACGACGGCGTTGAGGCGGGCACGTGCAGCCCGTGTACCTATATCTTCCCAGAATTGTCGCCGCCCTTCGGGTAATTTGCGGTATAGCCTTTGGAACATTTCATTATTTTTATGATCGGCATAGTTAGCCGAGCGAAGTAGAGCGCGCACGTGTTGCTTTCTTCCTAACTCGGGATACAGGCTTCGTGATGAACAGTTAGTGGTTCTCAAACGCGAGGGTAACCCCGAGGCGCGTTGGATGTCCTGGTCTTGTAATCTCGTTAAGTCGGAGGGACGCAATAATTGGACGCTGCGTACGTTCTAAATAACAATTATGCGACGTTGGAAAGATGTTTACGGTAAAATGAAGGCTTTGTTTTTCGCTTAAATAGTTTGCTCGGTCTCGACTCGGGACATGGAGGCTACAGCGCGCCTTTCTGAAATTGCCTTAATCACCGCACGTCTCCAACTAATGTGTCTCCTAATTTATTCGCGCGAGTTTTTCAATTACGAAAATCGCATACGATACCGTTAGTTTTTGAGCGAAAAATTTGACGCGCGATAATTTCTTTTTCGGGTGAGCACTTTAACGCCTAAAACTGCGGAAAAGAAACTACGGGTCGTCCTTTGAAAGAGAGCCGTTTTATAGAACAGCGTTTGCTCCCATAAGTATATGGGGGTTGCGACTATGGCAACCAGCTGACACTTGACGCACACAGCGACAGAGGTCTGCCAGTGGGAACCGCCCCGGAGCGTCCTTGGGCGAAAATTCCTCACGCGCAGCCAAAGCACGCGCCGAAAAGCAACGAGCGTCTGCTGGAGCAGTCCTGTCTTAGTACACAGTACAGCAATAGCGATAGCCGCGACAGTTCACGGCCAAGTCAGTGGGCAGATAGAGTTATTATGGTGTACGCTAGAGGTTCAACTAGCAAAAGCGCGTGTGTGTATGAAGGCACTCTAGCGGCAAACGGAAGCGGATAGCAAAAAGTTATTCATAGCTTTTTTCGGCGAAGAGACAAAATGCAGGCGCGTTTTCCCATAAGAATCTACGGGAGCACCGGAAAAGTAGACTGGTTGCTGTCCGCTTCAATTTGCCTTCCGGAAGTCGCATAGGCACTAGCGCCAGTTGAACCTCTAGCGTACATTATGGCAACTCTATGGTTGGACATGGGTGTCGCGCTCAGGCACCTAGCTGTCTTGACGTCTCTCGATGACGTCATTGTTGGAGGATTCCCGGCCCGCCCCCAGGCGGCAATCACGCCTAACTCGGTGAGAGTCGTCGTCGAGCGGCAGACGTCTTGGCGTCACCTTGCGCCTTGTAAACGTTGCGAGACCTATGGTAGTAGCCTGAATCGCGGATCGACGCTGGTCTCGCTGGGGTCGAGTGGCACCACCGGTAGCCATCCCCCTCGCCACCTTGCATGGATTTCTACGGAAAGAGAAAAAGGGCCCTTCCCTCGCTTCTTAGTTGTCGGCACCTTCTGGCTGCTTTTCTGGAAGCCCGTCAAATAGCTCGTGCTCAAACATTAAAACTGACAGCATTCGCGGTTCTTATAAAGAAATCGTTGGGTGTCGAGAGTGACTCCGCTCGGCGAAAAACGTAGTGCAGCTCAATGAGACGAGAGTTTCCTACAGTTACGGGGGGGGGGGGGGGGGGGGGGGCGGTTTGATGAAGTTGGATTTAGCAGACGACAAGCGCGAAGGCTTTGCTACGCGGACTTTGCTCACTCCGGGAAAACCGCTCTCAACATGAAACTTTTTTCAACTTGTGGGCTTCCTCGAGGACGGTCTTAATGACGACAAGTTCCTTCGTTTGGTCCACAACGAGATAGAGCGTGCCATCTCAGCCGCGGGTGCTCTGGCACGTTTGATATCTTAATGGGTGTTCGAACGCGAGATAAGTACCGATTCGAGCTCCCAACAGCCGATATAATGATCGCGGCACATCGTAAAACACTGGCCTTCGAGCACCGCGTAGGAGATTCAATATTCCTCCTTTTGGGCGTTTCTTCCAAAGGCTCGCGCGCCCGATGTCAATCAATGGTGGTGCCACCGACGGGCTCCGAGCCTAGTACGATGGAGGTGAGTGCGAGGGACTCGCTGGCGCCATCGAAATTGGCGCTGCCTGGATCGACTTCCAATGCCAACTGGGGCCTCGTCTTTTAGCTGCATAGAGGTGGCCTTATGCGACGATGCAGGCATTGGTACGTCCGAACCATTTCCATGGAGCGGCGTCTTACACCTACCCGAAGCTTTTCATTGCTACGACTGAGTACGATTACACTTGGAATTACTCGAGAATGATACATACTGTCCTCTCGCCACGTCGCAGCAACCGTGGCCATTGAGAGGTTTTTTTTTTCAAATGTCAATGAAGCAGATTCTCGAAGCTGTGGCGTAGCTCCTTGTTCACGCTTTTCACGCGGCGGACTCTCCCCGTTTCGACGAGCATCGCACCGGCGTGCGGTCGTGCATCGCTACTGCCTGGTGCACCTTAAAGGTCTACAGCTGGGACACCATATTTGGGCGGTCTAGCTTCCGGCTGTAGAAACGCACACGCCACGCAGTTCCAATTACCCAGGATCCAATCATGAGAACAGCGCGGCGGCGGGCGATGTTTTTGAAGCATTTGGCAATATCGACTACGGACGCCCTATACTCTACCTCGAAAAATACAACAACTACAACGAACTTCATCTGCCGTGGTGGAAAGAGCCGATAACAACTATCGCTGCAGAGAGAAAAAAAAAGAAAGAAAAGCAACTAGCGCCAGCTGGAGCCGTTCGAAAGAAACGCCGTTCTCACTTGTGCCGGCGGGTGCGCCCGGCCATCCGAGCGGACGAGCTCGGAGGCCGATGGGCCAAACTCGGCAGAATTCGTAGCGAGTCCACTCCCAGTTACGGAGCGCCGAGGACGCTCCACGTAGAGCGAACAGGGCCTCGAATTCCTCAGAATCCAGGAGCAAAGCATGCCACAAGGGGAGCGAAGTACGCGAGGGCCCAACTGCCGTCGCCGGGACACGAGCAGAAATACATTCGGAATGGTCGTTTTTTCCCTCGAACGCCCCTAAATGGCGACGACTGGAGATATATAGAAGAAACACGGTATTGCAAAAGATTTCTCGAATCGGCAAAAAATATTTTTTTTTGTCGGCGAACAAATATTGTTGTTTGTCGCGTTAGTGGGGACCGGGTCATAACTGGGTGTTATGTCAAAAAAAGCACAATGTAAAACAAAAAAAAAAAAAAAAAAAAAACAACATATGTGAAACTTTTGCGTGTGCTTAGCCCCGCCGTGCTTTTATTTGCCTCGAGATTCGATTGCCCCGATTGCTGTGGCGAAAAACAGAACTAGGCTCTGCATTTAGCGGAGGAGGCACAGTGCTGCACTGGCGCAGTGGAAGGCGCCGCTGGCTCGCCTGCTGCGAGAGGCTTTGAAAGCTCAGAGACAGACCCTCGCCTGTCGCTGTTCGAGTGCCGGACAACCACTACGCTTCCCAGTGGCGTGCACGGTGAAACGAAAGCCCGAACATTCTTGAATCTTTCATTAGACTAAAATTACGCCGAGTTAGCGCAGTCTGAGGCAAGAGTTTGTCTGGCCTCGTCAAGAACAATCCGGCGAACACGTTCCAAATTTATTCGAATCGAAGGCACGGAACGCTAGGATCCCGAGCCCCCCCCCCCTCCCTATTAGCGTTGAAATCTTCTACCCTGCGAGTTATCACGAGAGACCACCGTTTTTTTAGACCCTGCGCGCGCAACCTTCGACGAGTTTTACGGTAAGGTACGACGCGCGGAGTGACCGTACCTGGTC